CAACAGAAAGTAGACACCAACTTCACCATAACTCGGTGGTCTCAATCTGTGTGCTAACTCAGGGTGGACATGGTCCGGGCCGGTCCGGTCCCTGACCGAGCCGTCCTTTGGACCGGCCGTCGGCGGTCTGGACCGGACGGGACCGAGCAGGGTCACGGTCCTATTCCCAGGGACCGGACCGGCAGGGACGAAGCCCGAGCCGGACCGAGCGGCTCGTTTGGACCGGCCAGAGTTCACCACCAGAGCACGCGCCGGAGCATGGCGACGCGGGGAGGGCGCTGGAGGCAGCGGGGCTCGTCGTGGAGATGTCAGGCAGCTTTGGAAGTTCCAGAGGGAGACAGAGGAGCCAAGAAGATCACCAGAGCGAGCTCATCGGCGACGAATTTGGCACGACGGCCGGTGGACGGAGATGAAAAAGACGATGCCCGATGCGGCGATGCAGGACCTCCCACGTCGTGTTCGTTGGTGCATACGATAGATCCGAGTGGGGCGCATCTAGTGGACATATTTCCCGGGGCCAGCGAGTCCAGTGGCCGCGCGGACGACGGCCCCCGCGGCGGCGGACATGAACGGCGACAGTTTCTTCAGCCCCCGCCGTGCCTGGGCCGCCACACCCCCGCCACACCCTCGCCACGACCCTGCCACGCCCCCGCCACGACCCCGCCACGCCCCCGCCACGCGCCCACCACGCTCTCGCCATGCCCCGGCCACGCTCTCGCCATGCCCCCGCCACGTTCTTCGGTCGGCTCGGTTAAAGCCCGGACCGGACCGAAGTTTTGTCGGGCTGGATTCCTGAGCTCGCACCGGCCGATTTTTTCAGCGGGCCAGGACAGAGCCGAGCGGGCCACGAGCCGGACCGCCGGACCGGACCGTGTCGTCCACCCTGAGTGCTAACCCTCCAGAGATGTTGTTTAATTAATTAAGAAAGACCAATATAACTTCATTCTCTGCATCCCCAAAAGACAAGTCCTTTTGTTAAGATCTGTACGTAATTGTAACCTTCATAACTAAGAGTGTAGAAACAAAAGCAAACAAAATCAAGGGAAACTTAAGCAATCACCAGGGCAACTTGTTACCAAATCATAAATATAAGCAAGTTGAGAGATCGAGAATTGTGGTTGTGAGATCTGGGAGTGGACTTCAGGAGGAGATTCATGGAGTTGAGAACAGAGCGGAGAAAGATTGCCTATCTTAAACTCAATCTCACACCTAGATTATTCCGGTTACCTCCCTTGTCGATGATCTTCTCTCCACCGTCCAATGCTGCAGCAAGCAGGTGCAGGCGGAACCCTAAGGATCATCCTTGGCGAAGGGGAGAGAGGAGTCTTCCACCACGGCGAGGGGAGAGGAGGAGACGTCGTCGATGGAGAAAAACAGGAGGGGGTTAGGAGGCCACGGCGCTGGGCTGCGTTCGCGAACGTAGTTACCCTGGCCCACAGTGTGTCGGCCTAGTTCACAGAAAATCGCCGAAGTCGTTCTTCAGAGTAGCGGCCCAGGTTACGTTTGGTAGCTGTCTCGCCGTAAAAATGGGGCAGGGATGGATGACACAGGTGATCCAGGCCGTGCATGTCTGAATCGGACGAGTGAGAGTGTCTAATCGTTATGGAGAGGTATAGCTCGCTACGTTTTACTGTTTTGTAATATTGCCATATAGTGTGGAAAATTGTGAGAAAAATTGCCATGATGTAGCGAGTAATTACCATGCATTCAATCGGAAGTACCTTACCCTAAAAATCTGTTGTCAGATACCCTAAAATATGACGTCAGGTGTATATCGGGTTCCCAAAAATATCTCTAGTAATGTATTAGACTCCGTTCGTCCGGAAATATTTATCAAATAAATGAATAAAGCTGGATGTATCTAGAACTAAAATACGTCTCAATACATCCATTTCTCCAACAAATATTTCCGAAAGAGGGAGTACTATATAAATTTTTGTGCATTCCTCTGTTTCTCGTCGGTGCGAAACTGGACGTTCATGTTCCTTTGGGACTCTTTCGATGGTAAATGTTATGGATTAGGGGCACTAATATTAGCACCCCATTGCCCTAGATTTCCTGAAGTTAAACATAGTCTCCAAGTTCTGTCCACCCCTTTTCTTTGCCCTTTCCCGCCAGCAATCCCCATAAATACTCCCCGCCGATCCACGGATGCTGGCTCAACACGCCGAAGGAAAGCGTCCCCGATCGAGTTCCCCAACCGGGATTGATTGCCATCCATGGATGCCCTGCAAACGCAATACGCCGCGGCGGCAGCGTCGCCGGCGGCGAGGCGCCTCCGAGGAGGACGAGCCGGTCACGCTGCACCCAGGAGGGTGGAGTTCGGTCGGCCGCGGCGTGGCGGCAGCGCGAGGGACGTCCTGAGCGTCGCCGGGCCCGGCCGCTTCTCCGGCCAGGCCGCCGGCGCCGTCGGCCAAGGCGGCAGCAAGAACAGCCGCGAGGTGGTGGGTGGTGGTGCTTAATTGCAGAATGGGCTTCAATTAATTAAGGCGCGAATTGATCTGACGGTCCGAACGCTGCGTGCATGGTGTCAGGTGGAGGACGTGGGCGCGGTGCGGCTGTTCGTGGGCCTGCCGATCAACTCGGTGACGGACGGCGCGACGGTGAACAGCGCCAGGGGCATCGAGGCCGGGATGCGCGCCGTAAAGCTGCTGGGCGTGGACGGCGTGGAGCTGCAGGTGTTCTGGTCCGTGGTGCAGCCGGAGTCGCCGGACAAGTTCTCGTGGGCCGGGTACCGCGCCGTGGCCGACATGGCCCGCGACGAGGGCCTCAGCCTCCGCGTCTCCCTCCGCATCCACGGCTCGCCGGGCGGCAGCGTCCCCAAGCTCCCGTCCTGGGTCGGCGCCGCCGCCGCCAAGGACCGCGACATCCTCTTCACCGACGGCGCCGGCGGGCGCCACGAGGACTGCCTCTCCTTCGCTGTCGACGAGCTCCCCGTGCTCGCCGGCATGTCCCCCCTCCAGCGCTACGAGGCCTTCTTCCGCAGCTTCGTCGACGCCTTCGACGACCTCTTCGAGTCCACCATCACGGTGCGTCGTAACTAAAGATGCCATGCCAATGCCTCCATTTCGTCATGCATTTTGATGATTAAACTAGGGTCGACCGATGGTGCTCAGGACGTGACGGTGGGGCTGGGGCCGAACGGCGAGCTCCGGTACCCGTCGTACCCGCCGGGGAGCGACGTGACCCAGTTCATCGGCGTGGGCGAGTTCCAGTGCTACGACAAGTACATGCTGGCGCAGCTGAGGCAGCACGCGGAGGCGCTGGGCAACCCGCTGTGGGGCCTCGCCGGCCCGCACGACGCGCCGGGGTACAACGAGTCGCCGGACTCGAGCGAGTTCTTCCGCGACCACGGCTCGTGGGACAGCCCCTACGGCGACTTCTTCCTCTCCTGGTACGCCGGGAAGCTCCTCAGCCACGGCGACCGCGTGCTCGGCATGGCGAGCCGCGTGTTCGGCAGCAAGCCGGTGGAGCTGTCGGCCAAGGTGCCGTTCATGCACTGGTGGCACGGCGCGCAGTCGCGGCCGGCGGAGGCGGTGGCGGGGTTCTACAAGAGCAACAAGAAGAACGGGTACAGCCCGGTGGCCAAGGTGTTCGCGCAGCACGGGTGCACCATGGTGGTGCCCGGCATGGACGTGTGCATGAACAAGCAGCAGCGGAACACGGGGTCCAGCCCGGACAAGCTGCTGGTGCAGATCAAGAACGCGTGCCGGCGGCACGGCGCGCGCATCGCCGGCGAGAACGCGTCGCTGGTGATGACGCACACCAGCAGCTTCTCGCGGATCAAGAGCAACATCGTCACCGCGGAGCGGATGAAGCCGACCTTCTTCACCTACAGGCGGATGGGGGCCGAGTTCTTCTCGCCGGAGCACTGGTCGCCATTCATGGAGTTCGTGCGCACCGTCGTCTGCGGCGAGTGGGACGAGGACGACGAGACGGCCGCCGCCGTCTCCAGCTACGACGACCTGCCGCAGCCAGTTTGACACGTTTTTAATCATCCATCAGCCCAGATGATATGAGATGAGATATGAAATACTATGATCCGATCCGGTTATTTTTTTGGGATCGAGAGTTCAAGTGTATATGAATTTCATATTTTTCTTCATTTGATGAGGCTGCTGTATTATGGTTATACTGTCTCAAGATGAGACTTTTTTCATAATAACTAAGAAGATATAGTAGATCACTGCAAATACAAATGCAAAATTTTCAACTGATGTTGGAATTGTCATGTGTCGTGTTAATTCAGTTCCCTGTTTTCCTGGCATCCATATCATTCAAAATTGTAATTACCGCCACAGAATTTACAGTGAACCGAATTGCATCGCAGTTTGACATAATTCTCTTACCTTGCTGTTAAAAACTGATTCCAGATAGCCATAAAACATTACAAATATTTCTATAATCGACAACTCAATGAGGTTGCTGGGTAACCGCAAACACGAAACACAAAAATAACTTGTTTTTTCATCTGCGACGAACCAGGTAGAAAATCATGCTTCCACCTGGGTATTTCCAATACACATACAACTGGAGTAAAGAAAGTGACTTTATCAGGAACAAATTTAACCACACCCAGCGAGACTGATATTTACATTATGATATCATTTAACAGGATATCAAGCTCTACAGCAACCTATCCTCCTCCTGCTTCTCATATCGAGCATCAAATTCTGGATTATGCCAGCAACTCCCTTCTACACTCTATTGGTTGTTCGACACCTGCAGGTAAAATGATGCTTCAAAGTCAGGTTTAATATAATGTATTTGTCAGGTAGGTGACACAATCTGCAGGTCGGATATCCTTAACACCCAGCGAAAATGCTGGATTGAAGCTAACTCTTCTTGTGTCTGAAGGTCTCCAGAAGTTCGAAGCAACTCGGATAAGCGTGTGACCAACTTCCAGATGTACCATTAACATATGATTCATCATCAAATTGTTCATTTGATTGGCATGTCAGTAAACATGACACAAACAAGAAACTAAGAGACGCACCTCTTCATTCGCGTGCTAATTTGGTGTCGAAGCTGCTGAGACAGATCGCAAACGCCTGAAACGCCGATACCGGGTAACGGTAGTCGAGTGTGAACAAGTCCTTCCCAATCTTACCAAACTGGAGGGTGGTGTCGTCGTTCTCCTCGTTAGCTGGAGCACTCTCATCTGAAGCCACCAGCTGAAAGTTTTTCACTGAGGCAACCGTCACCCGTCCGTGGAAGTTGAGGCACCAGCACCGCAGATGTTCGTGCCACCTGGGGGACTTGTTCTTAAGCACCAGCTTACTTTCCACTTGACTGGATAATGGGGTAATTGAGCTATCCATTCGAGATGATTTGGGATTGAAGAAAGGAAACGCGGTCTGCGTTGGAGCTGTGCCTCCTTGTTCAATTGCTGATACAGGGATAGAATCCATGATACAGTTCATCCTTCTTGGGCCCCTACAACAAGCAAATACGCCGCAACATAGTCAGTGTCTTGGTGAGACTTCTTACACAAAGAAATTTACACTAGTAACGTGATATAATTAGTTAGTGTCATGTGGTTTCATTTCTTTGAAATGGAAATGGGGGCGAGGCCCCTGCTGATCGGAAAAAAAAATAGTTAGTGGTGCTTCATACATGAAGTAATTACACTACTACAATGATAAAATTAGTTAGTGCTGCTTCATACGTGACATAATTACACTACTTATACATGATCAAATTAGTTAGTGGTGCTTCCTACATGATAATTTTTTTTCTGTTGAATTATAAATAAACATATAGCTTTGCTTTACCCACTGCCAAGACATGAAGTCTAAACCTGATTTTGCAAGATTTTGTATATTTCAGGTGAAATCACACTAAAGCAGCCCTCCCTCCTATGGTAATCCAGAAAACATCATTATTCCACTGTGGTTTTGGATCTGCTGATTTTCAGAAATTATAGTGCACTTAAATAACATTGTTATTCCTCTTCATAAAAAAATATAATGCATTTGGATAACATTGTCGGAACTGCTGGTTTTCATAAATGGAAATTAATTTAAAGTTTATAAAAGGTAAGGTTGTTATCAGCACTGCAGATAGTAGTTATGGTCAGGGGTTACGATGTTCTCAACATTTTTGGTCAGTAAATGGATTTGTATGCAAATAATGGTATATGGTCTCCAGAAAATATATAAAAATATGTGCGCGCATATAATTTACGTAATGGAAGGGTTACCACATAAGATGGCATACCTAGATCCCAAAACATTCACTTCATAATTAATTTGTATAACTGGGTAGTCGCCAGCAGGCCATCTCTTTGGAACCACAGGTCCAGCATGAGGTGGATGCGCATCATAGACAGTAAACTTCGTTCTCAAGAAATTCGATCTGTTCAGAAAAGAGGAAATGTTACTAAATAGGTTTCTCTGCTTCAACATGTTGTTTTGATCTTATGTATGTCGCTGAAGGAACTAGGGAAACTCGTAATTTTCAGATATAAATGTCAAAGGATCACCTTAACTTGCCAACGCAGGTCTGACTCCCCTTCGACATATCAGTCTTGTCAAGTGAAATTAGATATTCGGTGCATGTAGGCCTATGGTATTTGCGTGCAGCAAGTAGGAACTTCCCAGCATCAGCTAGTGCTGCACAAAGAAAAAGAAACAATGTTCATGAACAAAATAAGTAAAATCCAGACTGCATATATACCCAATGAGAAACGCATACCATCAGTCAGTCCAATGTAGAGGAAATATGTCTGAGTAGCCCGGTGCCTCCGAATGAAACATTTGATGGGAGCATCTCTTGGTCCAGGCTAAGTGTTAGAGAGGTATAAGTAAGTTCAAAGCAAACAAATCTAGCAACAAAGCCACATGGTCTATAAAACTTGAATTGGACATCACTGTTCTAAAAAGGATGGTCAACTACATCTGACAACATAGCTTTCCTATTAAACCCGTTTGACAATGACCGCTCGAACTGAATAACAGTTGACATTGGGCATTTCATACTATATACTCCCTCCGTTCCAAAATAGATGACTCAACTTTATACTAATGTTAGTACAAAGTTGAGTCATCTATTTTGGAACGGAGGGAGTACTAAACCAAACAACCAGTCATTATTTACTAATCTGACTTTCCAAGTTTCTTCTCAATACGGATGTATTTCTCGGTCTCAACTACTACTTTTTAGGATTAAATAAAAAATAGAAAATAAAACAAACATGACAGTAGTACTCCTTTCACACATACCTTTCTTTGACACCTTCCAATCAGGGAAAAAGAAGGGTCGCTACGTTGCGTGAAATGGTGGACATCAAAAGGCACTCACACAATTCTAAAGAAAGAAAAACTGAACACAATCGCCATAATTGAAGTTTGCCAAAAATAGACGTTGCATCAACTAATTGCTCTTGAATTACTAGTAGATCATCGATAACATCATCAACAGAGAAAAACTTTGGTGACTAATCAAGACTTAATATGAACACTAGGCCACCATGGAGTAGCAGCTGAATGAACAGCAACATGGATGGTGACCGGGGAGCGAGCGAACGAGAGAGGGATTCGGAGCTGCCAGGAGCGGCTACCTGCTTGAGAGAGATGGGGAAGGTGAGCCGCCCGGACACCTCGGGAACGCGGACGATCTCCCTGACGACGCCCCTCCAGGTCCGGCAGACACCGGCGCACGCCACCACGTCGCGGCGGCGCGGCCACCGGGGCTCCGACGCCTCGACCCGCGCCAGCACCTCCCGCAGGAGCTCCGGCGGCAGCTCCGCCCAGCACCACCCCTGCCGCGCGGCCTCCTCCGGCAGCGCCACCGAGGCCACCGCCGCCACCCGCCGGACGCCGCGCGCCGACGGCGGCAGCGGCCGGCGCCGGGCGATGGCGTCCACCTCGCCCTTCATCTCCCGGACCATGCTCCTGAAAGACATCGCCTTCTCCGCCCGCGCCCCGGCACCCAAATCCGCCCAACCCCCCACCGAATCCTGCCAAGAAACTGACGGATTTCCCCGACCGGCGCAAAAAAGGTGCCGCTGGGATGTCAACGGGCTGCAATTCTCTGTAGCGGCGGCATCAATATGGTATGGACGGATGTGGGTGGGAGATGGTGGTGCTGCCTTTGGGTAGCGGCTTGGTGGTGATATGCGTGCAGACAGGGACAAGGATGTGGAGCAGTGAGGGAAGGAACAAGAATGCGCTACAAAATTGTGCTGTGCCCAGTTGGCAGGGAAATTGTGCTGGTACTAATACACTCCTACTACTCCAGCATCTCTGTCAGGACAAACTGGGAGATTCTGGTAGGAGAAAGTTGTTTATGGCATTTTCCTCTGATGTCTTACCTGGTCAAATATAGTACTCCTACTAAGGTTCAGTAAGATAAGACCATTTCTTATTTCTTATTTCTTTCTTTTTTGGAGGGAAAAGATAAGCCCATTTTCATGTAAAGAAAGATAAGGCCATTTTCCTTTTCTTTTTTCTTTTTTGGACATTTTCCTTTTTTTCTTAGGAGATAAAATTAGTTTCCTTTGCAGAAAAAATGTCTTTTAAGGAAGAGAAGAGGGAGGCAAACGTTCACATACACGCACATATATTCTTCCCTGTGAACGCATGCATGTGCAGCCTATCCGTATGAGCACTTTTGAGAGACTGGGTCAACAAATCTCGATATTGACACAGTCATCACAAACATCTCGTTACCTCTGGCTCCATCCGCGTCTTTGTTGTATGACAGAGAAGTGGTGTCAAGTTTGTTTTGGTCCACAGGTTCGGCAAAACCTATGCTTCAAGGGAAGTATCATGGTCGAAGTGTATTACGGTTTGGCGACCTATGTTGCAAGAGAGGTGTCCTGGTCAGAGTGTATCCAACGATGTATACTTGTCACCTATCGGGGTCCACAACATGAAAACCGTTAATATTGGTCCAATTTTACCTTTTTCTTCTCTACTAAAGGCATAGAGAAACGCCGAGATGCAAAAGGTAAAGCTATTCGAATGACCACGATGTAAACTGTTGGTCTTACCGACAACCTTTGTTGTTCATACCGTCCCACAAGTAAAATGACGGAACATTTTACATTGTGGGATAGGGGAGTATTACATTATCTTCAGTCCGATGTAAGTATACATGCTACCATTATTAATTACTACATGTGTTCACTAATGTAGGATGTTTTGGCAGTGAATAAAGACGGATTTTCTTTTTCTCAAAAAACGAGGTAGCCATTTCGGAGTTGCTACCTAGAAGGTGATCTCTCATTTTCCTATTTTGAGAGAGACTCTACTCTACTTGCACTAGCAGCAACCGGCCACCCGTCCATGAATTCGTGATGAGGAATGATTAGCCTCCCGGTGAGGGCAGTGTCACCATCCCATTGTCCCAGAAAGCATGGACATGCAACCAGTAACCATATCCACATTTATAATGCTGTCTCTTCTGAACGCTCACAGCACCGGCCTAACCGGCCAAACCCTTTGGGCTTTCCCGGCATGGCAACTGAATCTGAAACATGCTACTCTGGGCAACGGACCAAACCACCGAGCTCAAGAGGGAAAGGAGGCAATAAATCTTGCAATCGTACTACAGTACATTAAATCTTGCTCGAGTTGGCTGCTCCTAGTAGTATGTTGCTAAAAAGTAGCGTTAAGTGGGCCTCATTATGCTGCAACAGCAGGCTGACACAGACACGGACAGATATCAAGCTCCTCACAAAAGTATATTTATGTTTGAGATCTTTATGTTTTGACAGATTAAACAGGCAATTTCAGTTCAAATTCAGTTCAATTTGACAGGTAACAAATTTTCGGCAGGATAACAACGGCCGTCGCCGTACAAGAGGCAAATTCGGTTCAAGATAGATAGATATAGATAACTTGTCTGAGATGAGTTCTTTGTAGCGACCAGGCTACAAGATCATCACTCATCTGGCACAAGCACAACTTGGCAGGATATACACCAATCCATTAGGCCTTGTTCGGTTACACCCCTCCACAAGAGGATTCGAGGGGATTTGAGGAGGTTTTGACTTGCAGGGGATTAAATCCACTTCAATCCCTGCCAAACCCCCTTCGAATCCCTCTCAACCGAACACAGCCTTAGGAGATTATAAGTAAGGGTAGATGCAGGAGGCCAGACGCCTGCCTGCCAACGGAGATCCCATAGGATACAATTGGCTTGTTAATCTACATACAAAACTGTACAGGCTTTGTCGTAACCGATAAGGCGATGATGATACTCGCATCACCGTCACTAGGGTTCATCTTCCTGTCGGTGCCGCAACCAACCGTTCATCTGAACCATCATCAGAGGGCCGCCTTCTTCGGCCTTCCGAGTCAGCCATACGCTATAATATTACCGGAGACTTCGCTTCCTTCTCTTCCTGTTACAGTTCAGAGTGTCTCCTGAAGCTGTAATGGCTTCTCCATTGTTTCTTCGCGACATTCATTCCACGAGTACGTTCGGATCGGTGGGTGATCCTGGGGAGTAGGGCACGAACCCGCGCCCTCCGAACATCGGGCGCATCAGCGCGTCGTCGAACTTGCGCCAGTAGTAGTGGATGGTGTGGGTCGGCTTGGTGATGAGCATCCGGAGGCTGGAGGGCCTCACGATGGGGAGAGGCGCCTCCAGGTCCGAGCCTAGCTGGCTTGTGAGGAGAGGAGAGTGCAGGGACTTCGGTGACGCGGGGTCTGAGGCGGCGCCGTTGCTCGACGCGGGCAGCAGGAACCGGATCAGAGGCTTTGTCAAAATGCCAAACAGCTGGTAAACACGATACATACATGATGTCAGATGGTTTCAGAACAGTCGGCACGTTCAAAATGACCTCAGATGGTAAGCTGAGACACTGCATTGGATAGGGATTGCAACAAGATGAGATGGCTCACCATGGTGCTAAACAGAACGACAGTGATGGTGCTGGTGATCATTATCGCGTTGCCGTGTAGCTGTGTGTGACCAGATCTTGTAAACTGCAATTCCAAGGCAAAGAGTTAAGCTTGCAGAGAAGAAACTAGACATTTGTAGAGTTAATATGCGAATTTGAGTAAAGCAAGGTGCACAAAGATTCTGGCATCGACCTTATTATAAGAAAGGGTTTAGAACCAACCTTGTTGTAAGCAAGAGCGATCGACACAGCTCCTCTCATCAGCCCAGCCCACCATATTACGATCTATCAAAAGAAATTCAGTTAGCAGATGTTAACTCAATCCAACTGCCAAATAGTCTAATGCAACAAATTACTCACTTGCTGCCTCCAGCTTATTTTCTCGAGCTCCGTCTTCTTTGTCAGGTTGGATAAGAACGAGAGCGGGAAGACGAAAGCAGCTCTTCCAACCAGAACCAATCCGAGCAAAATTGAGCTTATTCCAATGGATTTGCCGGGGCTGCAAGAAGAAAGACTTAGGACTGAATCTTTGGGGCGGAAAAAAGGCCATAAATGAAAATTAGGCAATGCAGTTTAGAGGTGACAAGTACAAATCTCTGACCTGTCACTAGCAAATTTCCACTTCTCAATATCCAGTGCATCCATCCCAACATAAAGGAAGAGAAAAGTCTCGGCGATGAAGGACAAGGTTGCAAACGCATGCCTAAACAGAAGAAAAAGGGCAAAAAATTAGCCGGCAGTTTTTGACTGAACAGAAGATTACTTATGTTGAAATAACACAGACTAAGAACTAGGATTACTTTGTTGTAACTCTTGAGCTCTCTGTCACGTTATGCCAGGTGTAATGTGACATCACAATACCACAGAAGAATACAGTGAGGATACCACTCAAATCTAGCAGCTGCAAAGATCAGATAAACAGGGTGAGTTCTTAGATTCAGACTACTACTGGTAGTGTAAGTTTCTATGTTGTATCCAACCAGAAGCACACCTCAGCTAGCATATATGAGAGGTAGGCCATGAGCATCACAAGTGCAACCTCACGGTCAGTAGAATGCCTGAAATAAGTTGAGCAACACACCAAGTTAGTATCGCGCATGAAATCGATGCTTAATAAGAAAGAACTCCAGGGTTGAACAAACCTTCCTATGTATAACTTCTTGATGACGTATGCACTAAGCAATCCAGTCTGACAATTGTGGAAGAAATGTTAAATCCATGTGGCCGATGATCATTTCGTTAAGCAAAGGAGTGCAAAGGTGAGACTCCAGAATGAACTTACAAACACTCCAAGGAAGGTGCTTGACACGAATAAGTAGCAGAAGTTCCCCAAGAACTTCAGAATGACGATCGCGTCGATCTGGTTAGGATCGAAGTTCTGGAGCGCGTTGAAAAGCACGACCGATGTGGCGTCGTTCACAACACCTTCCCCGAAGACTAGACTGTACAAAAAGGGCGTCTCGTCCTGATTGAGAACCTGTTTTCCAGAAAAAATATGGGTAAACAGTGGATTCAGTCATGGTTTTACATGAGCTGCTAATACAGATAATAATCATGGCAATTACTCTGAAAAAAAGGAGAATCATGAGAAAATTTTGTCAACAAACCTGTAGAGTGCAGACGGAATCTGTCGCGGAAAAGATGGCTCCAATTGCTGCATATGGGATGCATCAGAAAAAGATGAGGTTCACATGCTAATAGCTTCAGCTGCAGGGTGCAGGTCATGTGGAAATGCAATGACGGCTTACCAAGAAAATCTGATACATCCAGTGTCCCAATGTTCATCCTGCTGAATATCGCAATGGCAGCTGAAATGTAGTGATCGACGTCGTCAGAGAAGTCCGAGATAACCCCGCAGAACAAACATCTATTCATCTACTCCGCCTAAAAATTCTCGCGAAGAAAATAGCGAGCAAATTTTGTGGAGGATGAAAGTGGCATACCAAGAGATATTGTGAAGAACGACATCATCGTCCCAACTGCACCAAATAGTGTGATTGTCATGAAATTCCTGAAGAACTGCTTCTTCTTCACCTGGAAACTGATGAGGAATA